AAGCCCAGGTACTAGGTTGAATATGTGAGGAAAGGGTCAGGAGGACAACTTGATTTCTATACCAAAAACTGGGTAAATAAAGTTGCCATTTTTTGTGATAAAGAAGATATGTGTGACTTGTGTCTAGATGTACCCCCAAAAGTCTCATGCAGTTGTGAAGGGCAGGCTTTTCAGAGATGACTGAATCTAGAATGTGTGGGGCTGGGACTGAGGGTGTGTGATTAATAATCAATTCACTGATGGTTTTGGCATAGTTGTGGCAAGGATTAAGGGTGTAAGGGCTGTACCTGCCCTAGGACAGCTAGGCTACATACAGTATCAGGGACAGAAGAGGCTTTTCTCTCCTTTCTTGTTGCTTTTGTTATCTTGTGGGTACCATGAACTATTCTCTGTGATGCATTCTATCCAGTGTAAGTATCAAATGGAACTGGAGGTGTAGCTCTGTAATATAGTTCTGACTCAGTGTTTTTTAAGGTCCTGTGTGTGATCACCAGTAGTGAGAGAAAAAAAGTATCAAATAGGCAACTGGGATAGTTAGATATAGATACAAAGTATGTGTGTAAATATATACCCCCCCATATATATTATACACATATATATATGGAAGAATTTAAAAATGAGTCAAATCTCCTGATTGATATGCTTTGAAATTTTATTGTAATTTTTTTCTTCTTCGTTTTCTTTTTGTGTTTGAATAAAATGGATTTAAAAAAAAAAAACAATCAAATCTAAACCAGGCTTGGTGGTATACACCCATAATCCCAGCATTTGAGGGGTTGAAGCAAGAGGATCAGTACAAATTCAAATTCAAGGCCAGCCTGGACCACATAGCAAGACATTGTCTTAAAAAAAACCAAAGCCGAGGGGGGTCCTAAAATGGCAGCTTGCTAGGGGATCGGGCGGAGAGTCTCTCCGGAGAAATCATATTAGACGCTAGAATTTGACAACATGGAAAGGGCCAGACAAATGGATAATGATTCTTATTAACCAAGACAGCGCAGCTGGAGGATTTAAAGTCGTGCTGAGACTGCAAAGGCTGATAACGGAGGGCTGCAAATCTGCGCCTTTAATGCAGCAAACTGACCCAACAGGAAAAGCTGTGTTGGCTTTTGGTGACTGCTGGAAATTGAGACCTGGGACCCCAAGAAGCAGCCAGGACTGCCCCGCTGCACCAGAGGACATTGTGAAAGGCTCTGGAGCTCCGGAGTCGAATGCTGTGCAGTTTTCTGATTCCACGCTGTGCTGGGAGCGAGGTGAGGGCGAGCGGCGAGGTGTGCAGTAGGACCTGCACAGAGCCCTGGTGAGTACTGGGGACTGGGTTCCGCGGCCGCTGGGGTTGGCCAAAGAACATCTTGGAACTGGGCAGAGCCCACCACCATGGGGACATCAATAACACAGAGAGTCTGGCTGAAGACATCTTAGAGTTGGGCAGAACCTGCAGCTTGGTGACATCACCCAGTCGCCCCTGTAGAGAGGTCTGGTGGAGGACATCTTGAAATTGGGCAGAGCCTGACGCCATGTTGGCTTCAGCGTCATACAGAGAACTAGTGGAAGACATCTTGGAATTGGGCAGACCCGCTGTCCTGGTGCTCCTGTCCCAGAGAGGTCTGGATGCTTCTGAAAGGCTCTAAACAATACGGAGAGGGCCAGAGACCCCCCGGGACACTCCAGTCCAAAAGAATCCAGAAACATGACAAGAGATAAAAATTTTTAAAAAATCTCCAGCTGCCCAACATGAGAAAATAAGCCCAGGAGAAGTAAACACTGAAGAGAACAAGCACAGTAACCATCCAATACTGGACACAGCATCAGCCGAAATTAAAAAAATACCTCTATGACATCATAGATGAATTTAAAGCTGTACTCCTGATCCAAGTGAGGCAAGATATAAAGAGATTAATTAAAGAAATGACAAGCCCCACCCAAGAGAACACAGATGGAAAAACTGAGGAAATCAGAAAAGAAAGAGAAACTTCTGAAGAAGAATTTAAACATAACTAGAATACATGAAACAGATCCAAAGAGATTACCAGGAAACTAAAAACTCCATTGAACACTGGCAAAATATCCTGACAGAAACTAAAGACAGCCTTCTGAAACTTGAAGAGAGATTTATGACATATGATTGTGAAAGAAAAGCCTCTTAAAAATAACAAGGAACCAGAAAGAAACAATTCAAAGACTAGAAGATGACAAAAAGATACATAACTTAAGAATAAAGAATGTGAGTGAGGAAGCAGGAGCAACCAAAAGTGAAATACAAAGAATATTCACAGATATATTAAAGCAAAATTTCCCATGTATAGCAAAAAGAAATGATATCCAGATAAAAGAGGCATACAGAACACCAGCTACCTACAACCAAAACAGATCTACACCTAGACATATAATAATCAAGATTCCAGAAATCCACCAAAAGAACAGAATATTAAAAGCAGCCAGAGAAAAGAAGCAGATTACCTACAACAGGAAAATTATCAAAATAACAACAGACTTATCAACACAAACTCTTAAGTCAAGAAGGAAATGAGGAGAAATATTCCAAGTCCTGAAAGAAAATAATATGCAACCAAGGCTCATATACCTGTCAAAACTCTCTCTCAAAATTAATGGAGAAATAAGATGCTTCCAAGACAAGAAGGAACTGTGGGAGTTTGTGGCCACCAATCCAACCCTACAGAGAGTGCTGAAGGACCTTACAGAGAAAGAGAGGAAGGGATACCAGGATTCCAGCAACAGTGGCAGAGAGGCCTCAATGAATGGGGCAGACAGTGGAATGAGGGAATGAGGTGGACAAATTATAGCAGAAAAGTGGAGTAGCAGACATGAGGCAGAGACGGTAAGCTATAGTCTTTAGACAGTTCTGAAACACTATAAAAAAAAGGCAGAGGTCATTGTTAATAGTGTATCAGGATTTAAAAGACACAGTAGTCTTATTGCCATATTTAGTTTGAATTTAATTTGTTCTGGTCTGTCCACTCATGTCAGATTTGAGGGCACAGACATCTGATCCAAAAATAGCAGGTTATACCATGGTAACTATCCTTACTTTCCTATTAACTTAAACTGAAATCTTATATTATTTATATTGTCTTACTATGACTGATCTTAATTGAATCTGAATCATAAGACCATGGGTTGGCCTTGGCTGATTTTATTTGAATTTGGTATGCTTGTTAGTATCAACCCTAAAAGTAGAAGCAACTACTCTGAAGATGACAAGATGTAAAGGATATCCGTACTGGTATTAACTATTAACAGCTCTCAAATCCTACAATGCTTTCAAAGTTGTGTTTTTATAAAAATAGGTAATACTATGTTTAACTATATTAAGCTGGTGTTGTGGACAAATCTATTGAAAATAAGAGAAAACATAGTAACTACAGAAGATCACCTATATTGTGGTGTTACATGTCTTATCCATTGCATGTTTTTCTAGGAATTTGTTTTGCTGTCTTGTTACGACTTGGTTTTCCCTATAATACAGAGAGGATAGATATATATGTAGAAATTCACACATGAGTTTTTTTTTTTTTAATTATTTACGGGAACAGATTATATAATGCAAGATGTAATGAACAGATACTCTGAAGAAGAGACGCTAAGAAACCCAATGCTAATTTTGTAGCATTATGATATAAGTTCTAGCAATACTATTGTTCGCTGATTAGAATGACATTGGTCTGGTCTCTTGAGTTCAATTTCAGCATATGTAGAGATGGAGACGGCTACCACGAAAAGAATGAGAGATGCGATGGTAGTTATTATTGTCTTCCCTAATGTTGGATCTTGAAGACCTGAAAAGCCTTCATCATCCTGTAATGATTTGATTAGTTGTATAATATGCAATAAGTATATAAAGTGGGTGAAGATGGGGACAACTATTTGTAAGAAACTAGAGACAGACAGACAGTGAAGATCTCCATTGGACTTGCTTTGAAATCTGTATTTCTTTAAATTGTTTTTTTAATTGTTTTGTTCTGTTTTGATATGTTTAATCTTACCCTCTCTGAGATGTAAAACAAATGTGTAGGACTGATAACCATATTACTGAGTTTTTGTTCGATCATTGAGCAGAACTGTTTGTAGTGTCACTTTTTGAATGTCATTCTAAATACTTTAATTCTATAACCTAAACAGCTATTTTTAAGATGACAATATGTAACTTATCAACCAGCAATTTCTTACTGTTTGTTTTTCTGTAATTTTGTATTATTTCTACCCTTTTAAAAAAATCTCCATGTATTTTTTTGTTTCCTTTTCTTTAAATAAAAAAAAAAGCCAAAATAATAATTTTACAGACTGAATCAAATCTCTATGGGATCCCTTTCAAAAAGTTTTTAAATTTTAGTTTAAAGAGATTAAAACAATAAATCCAACAAAACAAAACAGAATAAATCCAAACAAAGCAATGAAAGTGATGCAGGACTTCAAAACAAGGTAATAAGAAATCAACAATGGCTACCATAATATATCTTGTTATTTTAAAGTCCAGATCATAAAGCATAATAAAACTAAACAAAACAATGAAAACGATATAGGAGTTCAAATCAAGATAATAGGAAATCAACAATGGCTACCATAGTGCATCTTGTTATATTAAAAATACTTCCCAGACCTACAGAAATAAGCATGTAAAAATAACTAAATAATACAAGAACTAAGTTGAAATTTCAGGTGTGTGATCTCTAATTTCTACTATGTCTGTGTTTCCTGAACTTGTTCTGTGTGGGCTGGAGGTCTGGGATTGTTTTTTGCTTCTTTGTCTTGACATTTTCCTGTGTTCCTTCGAATCAGCCCATGGCTGCATCCTGGGTGTTTTCTGCATTGACTGCCAGTCCCTCGGTGCCAGTCCCTGGACTAGGCACATGGGTTCTTCCGATCTGGGTTCCTGGAGTGGTGGAGAGCTGCGGGGCTGCAGTTCAGTGATGCTCCCCACTACCACCATGACAGCGGAGCCGCAGGGCGTGGCTTCTTCTCCAGGCCCTTGTTGGGCTCTAAGCAATTTCTTTCTAATGAATTGACCATTATCTTTCCAAAGTTCTGAAATGGTCAACAGACCCTAGAAAGATTTCTTTTTAAGTTCCTGTCAGAAACCAACAGCTACAACAAAATGCTGGCATTGATTCAGGGCCATCCTTTCGAAGGATTTTGTTGTTGTTGTTGTTGTTGTTTGTACCTGGGATCCAACTCACTACTGTGCACTTGCCAGGCAGGCGTACACCGCTGAGTTAAATGCTCCGCCCTTTTTTTTTTTTTTTTTTTTGCACTAGGGATCAAACTCACAACCTTGTGCTTACCAAGCAAGTGCTTGAACCACTGAGCTAAATCCCCCTTTCGAAGTTTATAGAGAGACATTCTTTGTTCTCAGTTGATTTGCCTTTTTACCTCACTTACTTTCTCTCTCCTTCCTTCTTCCTTTCCTTCTGTTGGCTGGCTTTTTATCATCCTATGTCTTAGTTTAGATATCACCCTCCAGACAAACCTATGAACGAATGCTGCAGTGGGCTGTTTATACTATTGAAAGCTCTAAAAAGTTTGCTGTCGCTGTTAAGTCTATCCCTTCAAAAATTAGGTCTGTGTTACAGTTCTGTTTACTCTATGGACTGTATCATAATTTGTAATCATTTGCTTGTTGTCATTTACACTAGACTATATTTCAGAGAGCAAGGGTTGTGTCTGTCTTATTCACTGGTGTGTCATTGTTCCATATCCTGTACCTAGTGAGTAGTTGCTCAGTAATATTTGCTGGATGAGAAAAAAGGTGAATAGAACCCAAAAAACATGACAAGAGATAAAGTAGACTGTGTTTAAGCTACTGCATAGATAAATGAGACACTAGAGAAAGAAAGAAAGAAAGAAAGAAGAAAGAAAGAAGGAAGGAAAGAAAGAAGTCAGCAAAGCTTAGGAAGACCAGACTGTATGACCTGGAAGCCTAGAAAAGAGACACACTGTGAGGGGCAGTGGTTAATGGTTCCTGACAAAGCTGAGGGATCAGCTAAGTCTGTACAGAGGTTGAACTCAGCAGATGTTGCACTGGAGTAGAAAAATTAGAAGCTACATTGGAATAGACTAAAGAATGATGCTCATCCTAGTAAATACAGAGTAGATAAATACTTGACTACTAAATGTTGTATCAACAAGTCATGTTTCGGTTTAATTCTCTTTATGAACTAACACTCATAGGCCTATATAGCTGTGTAGTAATTGAGTATATTTTATTAACTTTATATATAACTGAAACACTTGTGTTTCGATTACAGTGGTGCTGGAAGAGGCTGTTCAAAACTTAGAATAGATGAGGAAAACTTGTTTCAAAAAGTCTTATAATTTTGTGCTTTGGAGCATTGCCTTGGTGTCTCTGCCATTTTGAGAAACGCTAGGATTTGGTTAGCAGAAATCTAGACACATGCTGCCTCCTGCCCAGTGCATTGGTTGCATAAGGCCCAATGTCCATATCAAAGTTATATATAACTGGCTTTTTATGCTTACGTGTGCGGTGGCTTTTAAACCCAATTTCAGGAAAAATCTGAGCAGGAAAACCACCTTTGTTTCATTCTACGTTTAATTTCCACAGAATGCCAGATCTTGTAAATAGCTATTGAAATATGATGTAACATTATAGCGTTGGACAAGGAGACATTATGTTTGAGAGTTGCTATTCTACTGTCTAGGTCTTTGACTTTGCATGAGGTATTTTAACTAAGATTTATGATTTCATGAATCATACAGTATAAAAAATGGTTGATAGTACTGCCCCCACCAATAAAAGGGGGTGTTCATGTGAAGAAATCTCTTTTATCTTTCCATTTCTACTGTTCTTCATTATCAAAAGGGGAAATGCTGCCTTTAAATATCACAATAGTGTAGACACGTAGTGCCATCATCTCCACTTAGGCACCAGGTAGTAGAGAATACAAATGTATTATGTTCATTCATGAGGCAAATAAAAGCTATTTAAGCCTCAGAACATTTTGTTTTGTTTTATAGGAAAAAAGAATAGGAAGGAGAAAAAGAGGCAGAGATTCACATGAGAATCTGGTTTATTCTACTGAAGGATCAGTTAAATAATTGGTTGATGCTCAGGCTTATGATTTCTTTGAATTTAGTATCATTCCTGAGCATCTGTCTACTCTACACCAGGTACTGTGACAATGGCAGATCATGGAGGTGTTTGTATATTACTGCGTATTACAGGTTGTGTCTAGATGTCCCCCTCAAGTGGTCATAGGGGGGGCTTTTCAGAGATAGCTGGATCTAGGGTGTGCGCTGCTGGGATTAAGGGCGTTTGGTTACTAAATCAGTCTACGATAGTTCCGCATAGTTCTGAGTGTGGATAATGGAAAAGCCCAAGCTCCGCAGGGTCGGGAACCTGGGCAGATATAAAGGGCAGCAAAGACGGAAGAAGGCAGCCTGCTGCTCCTTACTGCTTGGCTGCCTTCTGCCTGCCAACAGCTATTTCTCTCTGTGGTGCCCCTCTGCTGTGCCACCGTGTCTTGGAGGCAGCCACCTCTGGACTGAACCTCTACAAACTGGGAGCTTCCTTTACTTTGGGTGTCCACTATTTTGTCTCAGCAATGAGGAATGTAACTAAAACAGTGCTGTAGATCAAAGCGAATGAAATTATCATGATAGAAATTCTCATTCTGTAGCCTGATCTGGTTTCAGCTTCCTAAGAAACTTTATTTTTACTACTTTGGTTGGTTTCCTTTGAGTCCTAGACAGAAATCTGTGTATAGGTTTAGGGACTGGGATCTGGGAATGGAGGAATGAAAAGACTCTAAGGCGGAGGTTATTATACTTTCTCTATTCATGTTGCCCCAGACATAGCACCTCTAACCCAAAAGGAATACTTAACAGTTACACTTGTTAAGTAAACTACTGTCAGACAACTATTTATGTCCTGACCACTTAGCTTATATAACTTACTGTATAAATTCTCAAACCCGGGAATCATACTGTATACCAACAACTTTATGCCCTGGTCCACACTGGTTTTTCATGCAATGCTTGTTTTTTAATCAAAATCACTGGCCAAAAAGATATTATTTAAACAAATATGGTAATTGAAGCAGAGTCTGAGAGACAAGGAGCTCGTATGATTGTGTGGTATCTATTACATGTGACTGTGTTTCCTTAAAAATGTAAAATATGGTGTCTTGGTGATTGTTTTTTTTCTCTGCAGTACAGGGGATCAAACTCATGACCTCACGCCTGACAGGCAGGCAGTTACACCACTGGGCTAAATCCTCAGCTGTCTTTGTGAGTTGCTGCAGTTCCCCAAGGTGCTTCCTTAACACAGTTTGGGAGCTGAGTTTTAAAGCCTTTTTCCATGATTTTGGTGTTTTTTCGGTCTCACATTTAAATGAGTATTTCTAACTTTTTGTACCTGTACATTAAAAACCAATCTGTTGCTTATTATCTTCAATGAAACATAGTTTATTTTTGGATTTATTATCAACAGTTATACAAGGCAAATGCATAATGTAAGAACTTTGGAAAGCACAGCAAAACACAGAGAAGAAAAAAGTTATTCCCAAATCCACCATCTTCCAGTAACCACTCATGTTATCATGGATATGTCCAGTTATTTTATATGAGAACATCATATTTTGAATAATAATTGTGATAAGCTGGTTTTATTTGAAGGTAATAACTTATACTTTTAAGTGGATTTTACACTACTCTAGACTTGTCTGTAATGACTTCAGCATAAATAAGTTACAGTTAAACTAGCTTCCTTTTTAATTGGCTATTGCATTAGTTTAATGTAGACTGAAGGATTTATAAACCTCATTCTTCATGAAGGGGAGACTTCTTACTGCTGGGCTTCTACCTCAGCAAGTGTAAAATGTACTTTATCCTTATAGAGGCACAAACAGTGGTTATTAGTGATGGAGCTTTTTTTAAGTGATAGTTCTAGCACGTTTTAAAAAAGGTTATTTATGAAGTGTTTTATTTCTTTCAGTAAATAAATGCCTTTTTTATTTTTTTGTCTTTTTCCTTTTTATCGGTACCGGGGATTGAACTCATGACTGCCTACTTGCAAGGCAGGCGCTTATGCCGCTGAGCTAAATCCCCAGCCCCTAATAAATGCATTTTTAAAAAGTAATTATATCATGGCCTGACTATAATCTAGTAATTCTAAAATATTGTTCTCTCTAGTAAGTGAGGCTTCAACTATTCATTTTGTTGAGAAAACGCCAAGAAAACTTGTATCATTCCTTTGTATTTCTGATTTGTTTTAATTTCTTTGCCTTCATAAGTACTAAGAAATCAAATTCTTTGTATGAAAACAAGGATTTTTTTTAGTTCGTTTACCTGAGACATGCTTCTAAACCCCACTTTCTGTTGCATTATAGAGATGGAATTTGCATTGTCTAAAGTAGAATTATAACTTAAGAAAAGAAAAAAAGGTGGGACGGTGGTACAGCCCAGCAGCACAGCGCGTGCCTGGCAAGCGCGAGGCCCTGAGTTTGATTCCTGGTACCAAAAAAAAAAAAAAAAAAAAAAAACAAAAACACAGCCAACCTAGTTGTGACAGCAGACAGCAATTACAAAAAGTGGCTGGAAATTTCTAAGCACAAACTCTGTTTCAGCCTGTCCCGCCCTGTTGCCTCTGGCTTCCTATTTGCTTCCTCCCTCCTTCCTATCCTCTCAACAATAATTTTAAATTGTGATCATAACAAGTGATGTCAGTAACGACCATAACTAGGGTTACTGAAGAGGAATTTTGTTCTTTAAAAAATGTTTTAAAAGGTAACATGAGGAAACGTGGAAGCAAGTTGAGAAGACGTAGGAGTCAGCCTGGGGATTCCTAGAGGCCAGTACTGGGACCACTTAGGCAACCAAATTAATGAACATACTGTTTTATTGTAAACCAATAATAAGATAAGTAACCATGAGCCTATATTGATGTAAATAAATAATAGTGTATAAAGAATGAATAAAGTAGAAAATTCTGTTGAAGCACCTTATTAATAATTGCTACAGACAAGATTCATGGGTAAATGCTAAAAATAATGCTTGAAACCTTGAGAATCAGAAGGAAGTTTGGAACAGAAAAACAGTAGTAATTTTATAATAGCAAATACTGGCAAACACCATACCACCATAACAAGCAACAGAGTTAACATG